TTCTCTCACAAGATCTCCATTGGTTCCAGACTGCACAAGGTTTGATCAGCTCAAGACACCTCCTCAAGCATTGAAGACTCAAAATTAGGGTTTGAGTTTGTATAAGGACAATTGGACTTTTAATGCTTCAATAGACTTTAATATATCATTTTAGACTCCCAAGATTTCTCATGTCAAGTTTCAAGCTTTGGATCACATTTTTGCTCAATCAATTGATCAGTTGACCTAAAATCAACTATATTAGGGAAAAAGTCAATTGTGGTCAATTTACAGTCAAAGTTCATAATTTTTTATCCATATCAACATTTTGAATTCATATATGGAAATTTATCAAGTTTGGATCATAATTTCTCAAGAAATTTGATCAAATCATCAAAAGGGCAAAATTGTTAAAATTAGGGTTTTGACTGAGAAGGTTCAATTTTTGACTTTTAACCTAACACATGGCTTGTTGATTTGAGACATGATATTAAGGATTCAAATGCATCATTTTAAACTAATGGCATGGCTTAAAACATTCCCCAAATATCAATTGATTGATAGTTGAAATTCAGTCAACTGATGAAAAGTCAACTGATACACTGAAAAGTAAAACTTTGACTTTTTGATCAAAATCAAGTTTCAAAAATCATATTTCATCAAGACATGTCAAAATATGAATATTGTTCATCAAGAAATCAAAAAGTCAAAAATATATTTGAAAAGTCAAAATTCTAAGACTTATAAATTTTTCTAAGTGTTGGAAAGTTAACCTTTTTTCATGACTTTGTGCCAAATTTTCACTATGATGCAAGATGATTCAAGAAAAACTTTCAACATGAAAATTGTAGATCCCAATGATATATAAAACTTTGTAGGAGAGGACAAGTTCTAAAAATTGTTGTATTTCAAGTTATTAATTTATGAAGACATGTCCATGAAACTAAAACACTTAATGAAATTGAGCATCTTAAGTCAGGATTTTGACCTAACTTCTTGGCCAAGTTTCACATAATTTAAGTTGGAGATTGCAAAAGTGACTAAAATATGGATTGTATAGCATGTTACAAGCTTTATAAAAAGTCAAAGAACTCCTTGAGATCATGTTTGAGCAAGTAGAATCGAAGAGATGAAGTTAGGGTTCCATTCTTGTTTTACAAGGCAGATTTTTAGGATGAACATGAACCAAATCCATGCTAGGCTGCACAATCTTTGCTTTGCAGACCTAAAACTTCTTTGTTACTCCATAATTAATGGTTTACACAATTTCTAGAGCCATGATCCAAGCATTAGAGCCATTATCCAAAAGATTCATCCATTTTTGGAAGAAAGCAACATTGCCATTCTTGAAAAGTGACTTTAATCACAAAGTCAACTTGCATTGAGCCTATAACTTGTTCTTCCTGCACAAGCTTCCTTTATAAAGTCAGAAGAACATGTTTAAAGTTTGAACCACTCTAGATAGCATGGTACAAGCCTTGGGAAGATGTTTGTCATGTTTACTTCAAAAACAAGCAAAGTTGCCACAACTTGAGAATTCAAATTCTGAGTTGTTGTAACACTTGAAACCTCTTGCCTATAAATACATGCACTATTTGCAAGCTAAAGGACGAATTCTTAAGCCCTGAAAGACCTTAAAATAGAGAATCACCAAGAACACCTCAAAACATGTCATTTCTGAGGTTTGAACCCAATCTTCAAATCTACTCGTGCGTTTCTTGGCCTTTTGGTTCCTAAAGCTTTTAAACATCATACCTAAACAATACCACACCCTGCTACACTTCTGTAACTCCATCTTCATCATCCTCCATTTTCAAAAACCGATTCTTGCACCTTGACTTCTCCAGAACATTCCAGACATCCATAGTTCAAGCTAAGGGTTTCATTAGCTTCCTAGGAACTTGAAGAAGCTAATCTGATCATCATCATCACTTGAAACAACCTCTAACTCAAAACACGATCTCCATCTATAAGGTGAGTTTTCTGATTTTCAAACTCTTCATATAGGCATTGTTAAGATTTCATTTTCAAAGATAAAATGTAGATATCATTGCCCTAAAGCTAACCATGTCCTTAGATTTCATTTATATTGCTTGAGTAGTTAGAATTTTGAATCTGAATATCCTGAAAAAGTTAGGTCAGACTTTGGTACCATTAGAAATTCTCATTCATCTTTGATTTATAGCTTTAGTTATTTACATTTCTGGAATCGTGATGAAATTCTACACAACTTTCATGTTTACATTTTCCATTTTGGATGAGAAATGAATGAGTTACAAGGATTTGGATCGAGGTTGAAGATGAAGTGAATATTCAGAACTTAGTTTATTTTAAGTTTATTGATTGTTATCATAATACCAGATGAAACAGCCACCCCAGTGGCAAGAGAAGCGCGCTAAAGGCATTGTTGTGTGAGGACCTGAGTTTGAGCCCCAACGCGTCCCATTTTTTTTTTCCTTTTTTCATGTTTTTCTTTCTTCCAAGCGTGCATGGGCCCTAAGGCTATTGGGCCTCTCCTTTTACTTCCAGCATCACCTCTATTTACTTGTTGCAGCGTAGGCCCAACTTGTTTCATTTATTTTTTCTTTTTATTCTGATTTCAAAAACCTTATTGGACCAGGTTTCAAACAAAAAAACACTTTTACTTCAAAACCACCCTAAATCAAATTTTAACCCCCTTGACCAAACTTTTCTTATTTTTATTTTATTTTCTTATTCTTTTTATTTTATTATTATTATTATAATTATTTTATTAATAAAAAGACAAAAAATTTATTTTTATTTTTATTATATACTTATATTATTTTTCAAGACCAAAAAATACAAAAATATTTTCTTATTGCAAATTTAATTTCTTTTCTTAAACAAATTAATACTAGACTTAGGTTTTCTTCTAATTAATTTTTTTCATACTAGTATAATTAAATTAAAACCATTTTCATGCAAAAAAAACCCTAAAATTACACCTTTGATTAATTTCATTTTAAACTTATTTCAGTTTTCCTATTTTAATTAATTATCCTCATTTAGTTAATTAGGTCAAAACATTTTCTTTAAAAATCCAAACAAAAATCCATTTCTTTTCCATTCATATCCTTGCACATTTATTCATTCTTGTACATTTAATTCTTGCAAATATTCAATATAGTTGTAATAGATAATTAGAGTTTAATTTCTTACAATCCTCATTTGTAAATTTATATCCCATCCTAATTGATGTAATAGCGTATGATATTTATTTTTCTGCAATTTATCGCTTTCATATAAATGCTAGTAATTAGGGTTTGTATGGAAAGATAAAATCAATGTTTAGAAAATCCTAATCCAAGGTAAACTCAAGCATGAAATACAATACAATTGCACACTTTGCACCTCTAGGGTTTACTCCATTTTGTTGCCTTAAAAATGGTCATAATATGCATGTGAGACGTCTTAGCAAAAAACAATAAAAAATACAAGATCATAGTCCCTCGATGACGCTACGAATGTTGCCTTACAAACGATCTTAGTCCCTCAAGATAAATTCTAAGATATCTCACAACATTGCTATCCATGACTATACGATGACCCATGCCCGTCCCTTCACATCCAATGATAGGGCTTCTTATCAATCAATGGGAAGATAGAAACATCTAAAGGAGGAGGAAATGAACAAAATACTTTTTGAGTAGGTATAACGTTCTTAGTCGCTTGCTCACAATCCATCTTCAAAACAAACATCTTTTCAAACACACCAAACACTTTCAAAACATGAAATATTTTCAAGAAGTTCAACACTTTGTATGCATTCTTATAGAGACAAGAATCATTAAAAAGTTTTCCTAAATGAAGGCACTTTTCAAAAATACTTTCAAAACCCATCACAAACACATTTCAAACAAAGAAATTTCAAAAGTGATCTAGCAAGAAACTAAGAGTTTGTAGATAACTACAGATGAAAAGGGTGCTAACACCTTCCCTTTTCATAACCTACCTCTTGAACTCAAGAAAATATCTCAAAGGTCTTTTCTGTTCTTTTCACCCTTTCCTTATTGGATAAAAGAAAAGTCGGTGGTGACTCTTGCTATCTGCAACAATTGCGATCAAACGCAAAACACTCCAAGTCATTTCTCCCACCGTATTATAGTCACATTGTTCGAAGAAAGAGAACACGACTTGGTACAATAGGAGTGAGCATACCCAATTAAAATAGAACACGACTTAGGTCACTGAATCAATAAAAAATCAACTTCTGATTTCCACGCTTTCGTCGATGCAATTGCCTTTTAGTTTCATTATGTGTAGCCTCCTGAGTTCTCAAAACCAATAGCGTTTAGAGGTGAACACAAGTATATACCACAGTCGGTTCAATTAGCCACTATTTCTATTGTGATTAATAAAATTAATATCTTTGATTCCTTTGATAAATCTACAAAATAGTAAAATGAACGATTTGAGAGCCAAATCTAGGTTTATGTCGAGGTATAAAGGAAATTTCCCTTGAGGAAATGTGGGAGGTTCATAATTCACCTTTTAATCTAACACCACCATCACTTTCCTATCCTACTGGTGTCGTTAGGATACGATAAGTTCATAGTTAACATTGGGCACAAAACAAGCACTAGTACATTCAATATGGGTACTAAAGGATCTCGGACTTGCATCCAAAACCTCACCAGGCCATGTCCCAATAAGCTAGAGTAAAGCATGTTGATTCAACTGTTCTCTTTCTATATCGTTTGGGTTAATTACCCCCGGGACAACAATTGATTTCAGCTACGACCTACTGATAAACTACCTTGTCACTAATATTATGGGGAAGTATATCAAGAAGAATATGCTCCAGACCCGAATATAGTCGAAATAGAAAAAATGGACGGTTCTCACCAACCATGCAGTCAGAGTTAAGGCACCACGAGCTCTGGTTGTAAGGAGATTGTTTGACCGTAATCCCAGACTCCTGACACATTGGTGTCCCAAAGGAAAGACTATAATGGGAAGGCTACCCAAACTCGTCCGACATAGGTCAAAAGGCAAGCCTCTCAAAGAACATCGTCTACATCCGACCACCAACCTGAATCACTCACAGGAAGACAATTGATCATCCATAGACCACTTGAGATAGATACCCAATTCGGAGTAAGAAGCGCGCGCTTCAGATCAACCACCTCATCTTGGAGAGTTTTCAAGACCTCGACATGGGCTTCGGCCTCCTGAAGAAGGGATTTCCAATGCACCTTCACCTAGAAAATTTTATCCTCCACAAAATCAGAAGAAATGTAGTACCACTTCTCCACATCTTTAAGGTAATCCTCTAGTTTAGTCACCCGAGCAGCCCGAGAAGTATAAGGGTCATGTATTTTTTCCGCCTCTTGCAAAGAGTTGACAACTTTAACCGTCTTATGCAACGCAACATGCTCCTTCTTGAGAGTAGAGAACCTTAGTTCCATAGCTTTGACTTTTCCTTTCCAAGTATCCCTTTCCTTGGTAGGATTAACTTTGAGAGAAGATAGAAGCCGCTTTGAACATGTCATGGGAAAGCTCAGAGGATAGTTCCATCGTTCTCCCATCAGGAAGATTCCTAACAAAGGATAAATCCAATGTCAAATTAGTAGTGGGGGCCTCCTCACAAGTGCAGGAAAACTGGGAAGAGAAGACATCTGACATCCTTGTGAAGAGAGTTAACTCCCCGGAAGGATCACCCTCAATGACATGAGTCCATTTTGGATAACCCTCATCCTAGGGGGTTGTTGTTCCTCATCTCGGGAGCTCAGTTTAAACTGGAGGTGGAGTTGACTCCTCCATAGTTAAAGTGGATGCGTCATCTACAAGTTGTTCTACCTCGAGAGCAGAAGCAAAAATCTCTATAACTGGGGTAGAAGAAGGGGTCCAGAGAAGGAACAATAGTTGCTAGAGTAGTGGAGGCAAAGGAAGAAGTCCCAGTATTCACCATAGTATGAATACCTTGAGCATTCGCAAGGTTGTGGAACAACTTCAACTTGATTATTTTATCCATTCTATTTGTAAAACACAATCATGCATGTAAAAAAAAGCACAAAGACTCTGCTCTCACCAAAAATATTTTTTCTCTCCTTCTGGCTAACTTCATTCAAGATATCATGAGTGTCAATCCACCTCTTTCTCACCTCGGTATGAGGCACCTCACCAGGTCCGAACCATTCCTCATAACTAAGTTCCTAAAACCAAGCTTGCATTTCCTCCTTCATTGTCACCTTGTTCAAAGAAAGAGAACATGACTGAGTACAGTAGGGATGAACATCTTGGATAAAATGGGCCTTAGGCCAGTACTTTAAATACAAAGTTCAGCAGAAGAGAGGAGAATCAACTAGGAGGTAGTAGAAAACAAGATGGGTCGTGGGTGTGAGAGTCCTCACCAATAAAAAATGTTCAAGAAGTCACCTCAATCCATAGTAAAAGGGTCTAACCAAGGGTTTACCTAATGGAAGCAAATAAGTCCTTGGTTACAGAAGTTGTCCTAGAAAGTGTGCATAGGATGAAACTTATCAAGAACAATATTAGGGAAAGCTTCCATGATTTGTTCTCGACACACAACTCGAAAAGCTTTATATATGCCCAAGATCTCGGATGAAGTTGGAAAGGATCAAACTTTAAATATTTTAGGATGACTACCTCAAAGTTAGAAAAAGCATCTGCAATCATATTCTTGTAACCAAGCGCTCTTATAACGGGACCATACAACCATGAAAGTAATTGCATGTCCTCTTTGTTGGCTCAACTAGAATAGCTAACCATAATTCCAGCCATATCTATGGCAACCTCAATGCTCTGAGCCGCTGAAGTTCCCTCTATTTTTGAGTCCACTATGTTGTACTCAATCACATCTGATTGAGCTTGAAGATCTAAATGAGCCTCCATTTCAGCATCATTAGGCTCACAGTTATCGATCATTAGATGAAACTGAATATAGCTCAATAGGCTTATACGAAGGCTACAAAATTGGGGTTCAACATTGTAATCGGGAGGTCAAGTTCAGGTTTTGATAACAGGGGTAAATCATACGGAGCGAAATCCTAAATTTAAGTTCCAGATCAACCCTTTTCTTGTGTTTTTCTATATGTAAATGAGTTATTCTGGAATTTAAGTTCTAGAATATCTTTTGAGACAAGATTGGGTTTCTGAGGTCATTATTGATCTAAAACTTCTATAAATATGAGTGTCCCTCGTGTTGTTAACTAAAACACCACAAAATCTCTTAATATTTCATTTGTCTACTTCAAAGGCGACATGCCCATTTTTGAATTTAGGTTCATAGAGACCACTCATCTTGTCAATCTGAAATCCACACTAGAAAATCTCTTGTGATACGAAATAATCGAAGAGTTGTGACACTCCATCATCGTCCACCCTTAATTGACAACAAATGGAATATACAGTTCAACAAATTTGAACCAAAGACAAATGAAGATTTAATGGTTATGTGGAGTACATTTTACCGTTACGAAACAAATGGTCCAATCGAGGTGGATACACCGGTTGCGAGATCAACCAACGATATTCTAAAGATGTTGAAAGTTCTTCAACCATCTCTTAGTGATGAAATGACATGTTAGATTTTCATTAATGAAAATCTATGGAATGTTATATATTTTATGTATGTCTTAACAAAGATTTATGTTAATTTATATTGTTCTTACTATTTCTGAAAGTTAACTTTTGAAACTTAACCTCCAAATATTTTCATCTATGATCTAGGTCTGAGACTTGACTTTGATTGCTTTAGGGGCGTCAAGAGATTAACTTCTAAATTTTAGGGACATTAATGATTTTTCACTAGGATGTCTGAGTACCAATAAGAATGCCAAAAATAATTCCCTTTTTAAAAAATGTAAGAGTGACAAAAGAAAAGGGTGGGAGTAACAAGCCCAATTATTCTCAACAAAACTTACATCCACTAAGCCCGATAAAACATATCTAGCACCCATTAGTTGATCCTGGCACCCTAATAAGATGAGTAATATGACAAAAATATCTTTTTAATAAAAAAATTAAATTCATGCAATTTTTTTAAAATTTTTTAAAATTTTTTATTTTTATTACCTGCAAAATTTGCCGTAGATAAAATTTTCGTATGAAATACATTGCCTGCGGTTTTTTTTAGGAAATTTCAAAATATTCATTTTATGCCTTTTTTATCATATGTTTAAAAGGCCGATACATTTTTACCATATATTATTTTAAAAACTTATAATATATATTATAATATATGTAGGAGTGGCACGTGATTTTTTTTTTTAAATCTGGTATTAGATATCTTTTTTATAATTTTATAATTGTTTGATTTCTTATCTCTGGAATTTAATGTGAAGTGTAGAATTTTATTACAGAAAATATGTTATTTATAGTTTTTTTTTTGCGAATCTCGTGTATATATATATATTTTATATATTTTTAATGAATTTTTAAAAAATTAGTATCTATTTATATGAATTTTATTAAATTTTTTGAAAATTGAATAAAAATGCATAAGAGATTTTTTTAAAATTCCAAACATTTTTTTTAATTTTTTAATTGTATAAATTTTACTTGCAAAATTTGTTGCGAACATAGAAAAAAATTCGCATGAAATACATAACATATGAATTTTTCTGCGGATTCCAAAATATATATATTTTTATCAGATTCATAAACGATCGGTACTTCTTTTTATGTATTTTTATTGAACATTTAGTATTACTATCGATTTTTTTTTTTCGTTTGAGAATAAAAAATCTCAATTTAAAAAAAAATAATAATAAAACTACAAAGTTGATAATTAGAGATTGAGGGAGTGATTTGGTAACCTCATCCAACCACTACCAATAGTGTGATCTAGAATTTGTACCAAATAGAAGTTAAGTTATGATAATTGACTTTTTTGTTCTATATGACACATTCATACCATCTTAGTTATGACCCCATCAACGCCATATAACCTTTATTAATAGATATAACGTGGGCAAGATCTTGCTTCCATTTATGATAATATGGGTGAAATATTTGTAAAGAAAGAAGAATGATATGGCTGGTTGAATTTGGTTCACAAGTGACATGTGACATGCATGCATCTGGCTCCACCATGCCCTAAACACTTATTATTCCTTTGCATTTTAATGCTTGGTTACTCATGTGCCGTTATACCTAAACGCTATTTCATATTTTGATTGTTGAATATGAGCAAAATAAGTAAATTATCATTTTTATGTTTGTGACTATAGTTTTTGAATATATTGAAAATACATGTGTATATTCAAGTTCATATTTTGTTGGTTAAATTGATTAACAAAAGACAATAAATGACTCTACTTTATTATCTAGTGTCTCACACATTAAAATATATTGCATAAAAAATTATTTAGTCAAAGCAAAATAGTTTAAGATCTATCCTGTAAGCAAATTCTACGTGCTTCTCTTATTATGATTGTGACGTTTTGCTCTCACTGAAGTGTTAATGCTACCAAAAAGAAATGGGAATCCAATCGAAAAGTGAATTATATCTACACTAATTAAGTCACTGAATTTCACAAGACTTTTTATAACTTTGTCTCCACTTAGATTTGAACACACGTTTTTCTCTTTATATATTTGAAATACTTATCACTTACTACTCATTTGTACTTTTTAATATGGTTAGCTGCATTATCCTTTGATTAAGCATCTAGACATATCAATATATTTTTTAATAGTGTGTTTAGATGAAATAAATGGATGAGAAAAATGATTACGGAATCATAAGTATAATCGGGTTTTTGTCACGATGTCGGAATAATAAAGTATAATCGATTTTTTGATTGGTAAGAAAACCACAAGAATAGAAAAGATGAAAGTAAGAAAAACACAATGAAATTGATTATAAAGTGTTATTTTTTATTTTATCTTTGAAACAAAATTACAAGTGTTACCGAATAACAAATAACATTTTTCACCATAATTAAGATTTGCAATGTTGCAATGATGATAGACTAGTATGTTATTTATAAAAAAACTAACACACTAAATTAATGGGTTTTTACACACATGCCCATTACACAAGCTAACTTAGAGAACAAGCTAACTTAAACAATTAAGTTTTACAAGGATGAATTTAGCATGCTAACAGTCATAGCATTTCGACTACTCCATACTCGAGCATACTTCAACTATAGCATTGCAAGGCTTCGACTACAACATGTAAACAGACTTTGACGGCATTGCTAAGATCATGTCGAATTGTCGAACCAAGAAACTACCCTTCAACCATACTAGAGTTCAATCCAATATCTCACAAATCTCCACCTTAGAACAAACTCTATAACATCAAGGGAACAAACTAGTTTTCTACATGCAGCTTTATCAAATTCATAGAATGGAAAAACCTGCAACTTGGCAATGTCTTGGTGATCATATCAACATCATTGTGATATGTCAAAACCTTCAACACTTAGACTTCTCCTCGCTCGATCACCCCTCTGCCAAAATGCAACCTTACATCGATGTGGTTGGTTCGCTCATGATAGGCTGAATTCTTCGACAAGTGTATTGCACTTTAACTATCACATTTAACAGTGATAACTCGACCTTGAAGTTTTAGCTCCTTAGCAAAACCTTCAATCCATAATGCTTCTTTCACAAATTCTGTGAGGGAAATATATTCTACTTCAGTGATTAATAAGACAACAACCTTCTGAAGTGTCGCTTTCCAACTAATTGTTGTGACAATAATGCATACATATCCAGAAATAGATTTCCTAGAATCCATGCAACCTGCATAATCGGAGTCGACATACCCTCTGATTACTGCTTTACTATCTTCACCACAGGCTTCGCCATAAATTATGACTATGTTTAGTGACCCATTTATGTACCTTAGAATCAATTTCAATGCTTGTCAGTGAGCCTTTCCAGGATACTCCATATACCTGCTTACAAGACTTACTGCATATGCTATGTCAGGTGTAGTATAGACCATAATATGCATCAAAGAACCTACTATGTTAGCATATATGATGTTATTCATATAAGCTCTTTCAGCCTCAGTACTGAGACATTGATATATACTCAGCTTGAATTGAGGGTTTGTCAGAGTCACAACAGGCTTTGAATTCGACATACCAAATTTGTCGAGAATCTTCAGTAGGTATGTATTTTAGGATAACCATAACTTTGACTGCTTTCTATCTCTTTGGATGTCAATCCTAAGAATATTGGATGTAGCTTCCAGATACTTCATGTCGAACTCCTTATTGAGTTTAGCCTTCACCTTCATTACATCTTCGACATTTTTGTTTGCTATTAGAATATCATCCATATAAAGAAACAAAATAACAAATGAATTTCCAGGTCGAAATTTGAAGTAAATACATTAGTCGAACTAACTTTTAATGAAACCTATGTGTGCCATGAACTTGTCAAATCTATTATTCCATTATTGAGGAGATTGTTTCGATCCATATAAAGATCTATTCAGCTTGCACACATAATTTTTTTCCCTTTTCCACATACCCTTCAGGTTACCTCATCAGGATTGTTTCATCTAGATATTCATACAAGAAAAAAATCTTTACATCCATCTGTTCCAGTTCTAGATCGAACTGTGTTATCATGGTAAGTAACATTCGAATGGACTTGTGCTTCATAACTAGAGAAAACACATCATTAAAGTTGACACCTTCTTTCTAAGTGAAATCCCTTGCGACCAATCTCGTCTTGTATCTCTTCGACGTCACTCCTTTGGTTCCTTCCTTAACATTGAAAATCCACTTACAGTTGACTAACCTAGCTCCAGCAGGTTTCTTGATCAGTTCCTAATTATGGTTATCATGAAGAGATTTCGTCTCATCATCCATGGCCTTCATTCATTCAATCTTATTTCTACTCCTCATAACTTCCTTATAGTTTCTAAGTTCTTCATCTAGAACCTCACTTGCAGAGAT